ACCTCTCATTAGATACTTCTAATTTTTCACTAAGTTATGTGGATTCAGTCTTAAAAATGACTCTCTGATATGGCTTCTCTTAACCTAGATTGCTGCTTCAACCTCCTGAAGTATCATGTCTCCTTAGTCCCTGTGTTCCACTGTGCCAAGAGTGAACAGCCTTAAAAAATTATTTTCCCTTTTTTGTTTGTTCTTTTGCTTTAAAATTTCCATTTTTGCCTAGTTTGGCTCCATCCTAATATGTTAGCTTCATTTCCATCCATTTTTCACTTCACACCTCATTTATACTTAGGTTTTTAAGGAAAAGCAATGTCCCAGCCCAACACAGAGACTCTCATATAATTTGTTTAGGGTGGGTTCTAGATATAAATACATTTTAAATCTCCCCAGGTGATTCCAATGAACGATATAGGGTTGAGAACCACTTGTTTATTTCCAAACTTCTGAAATTTCCTTGATATATCGTGAAATTTAAGTTTCTTTGCCTTTGCATTCACTCTTCTCTTTACCTGATGAACTTTTTTTTACATGGTCTAGTTCAAAGACCATGTCCACTTTGAAACTTTCTCAGATGAAATGATCTGAAGGTTTGTGCATTTGTTATCATGCAAATGTTGAAACACAAGATGATGGTTTTGGCATTAGGGAGGTGATTAGATTCCACACTTATGAATGGAATTACTGCCCTTATATAAGAGGACCCAGAGAGTTGTGTTTCCCGACCACTATATGAGGTCACAGAGAGAAGGCACCATTTTCTGAGTGAGCAAATAGGTCATCAACAAACACTGAATATGCTCTTGATTTAATATTGGACTTAGCCTCCAGAAAGGGGACAATAAATTTTCAATTGGTTTACAATATTTAGTTATAGCAACCCAAATGACTTAAAATGCCTGCTTCCTCAGGCAACACTTCATGAATCCCTCTACTTTAATATTATCATATTAAGAAATATTTAGTTTATTTGCTTCCTTCTGATAGGGAACAGACAGACATGGGTAGTAGAAACATGAAGTTAAGGGAATCAATCTCCTAAACTGGGCTTACTGTGTTGACTCCCACATGATTTTTCTTTTCTTTGTTTATTTTAACTTAATTATATATATATATATGTATATATATATATATATACATATATATATTTATGTGGTGCTGAGGATCAAACCTAGTACCTCACATGTACTAGACAAGAGCTGTACCACTTAGCCACAAACCCAACTCTGTTTTCTCTTTTCAAAACTGATTTACCTGTAACCCTGCCTGGCTTAATTTGACAAGATATGTTACATCCTCAGCAAACTACCTATTATCTACAAAAGAAATGAAGGCCTTAAATGCATATGATAAGAAGAAAACACGTTATCCTGAAGTGGGAGATTTTATGATTCTTACACAGACCAGATCCAGATTCCAGAACTCAGAAAGACAAAGATAATTCTTCCTAACCCTGTACTTGTATTTTTTTTTTTTTTTGGACTGGGGATTGAATTTAGGGGTGCTTAACCACTAAGCCACATCCACAACCCTTTTTATTTTTTATTTATAGACAGGGTCTTACTACGTTACTTACAGCCTCACTACATTGCTGAGGCTGGGTTTGAAACTGTGAGTCTCCTGCCTCAGCCGCCTCCTGAGCCATTAGTATTACAGGCATGCACTGCTGGGATTATAGACATATGCTATAGCACCCAGCTGTAACCACATAATCTTTAAGAACAGGTTCTAATTAGAACTGGTTAGAATGGGCTAAAGTGACCTAGAGTTGTCATGGCAGAGGGGACTTGAATGTATCATGTTATCCTTCTGTCAGTCAAAAGTCAAGAGGTGGACCTGGATAGGTGTCTCTAGAAATTTCCATGGGACCCCCCAAAAAACTGGATGGCAGTAGAGGCATGCTGTTTCTCTCTTCTCTGAGAGGACCCATTTTCCCCCTTGAGAGTGTCCCCTTTTTTTTTCTTTCTTATCCCTTGTAATAAATTCATGCCTGCTACTCTGAGTGACACATCTGAAATCTTTCTGGCATGATTGCAAGAATCAGGGTCTTAAGGGGGAGTATCTGTACTGCCTCAGTTTTGCAGAAAGCACCAGACCTGTAATTTCAAAGAAGAATGTGCCACCCACCATATTGTCTTGTCATGATACATTTATAAGGTTGTAGTTGTTTGGACATGGGTTCAGTAGCCAAACTTAAAACTTGCTTAAATAAGAAAGAAGTTGAATATATATCTTATATCTCTATATATCTCTAGGCCAGTGGTTATCAATCAGGGATGATTTAAGGTCACAAGTCAGGATGGGGGAAAGGGAGATGAGGGAATGAAGGGTGGAAGTTCTACTAACCTTTAGTGGTTAGAGGTCTGCAATGATAATGAATAGCTTACAATCCACAACAAAGAAATATCCAACATAAATATCAATAAAGACACTGTTATGAAACCCTGCTTTAGCCATAAATGGTCGAGGGCTAGTAGGATGAATTTCCCCATACGTTCATTGTTTCATCTTTTGGCTCTACCATCTCTAGGGGGTTTCTCTCATCTGAATGACTCATCAGTACAGCTCAGCAGCCAGACAGAGAGGGAAAGAGAGGAAGGCAGACTTCTTTCTTTTATGGCATGACTTCATATTTGTATGCATCAGTGTTCACATCTGTTTGTCCTAAACTTGTTTACACAGCTCCCCAAGCTACATAAGGTACTGGGAAATGTAGTTTTATTCTGTGATGCTTGTGCCATGCTAAACCTTTATTATTGTGTAAGAAGGCAGAACAAATTCTGGACAACTAGCTTTACCTGCTACATGTCTATATCTTCTACTGTATGGCATCTCCAGGGTAAACACTGTATCATGTTCATCTCTAGATCATTAGAGTAATAACTAGGACTAGTATTGGAAATTAGGAGTTGCTCAGGAAAGATTTTTTAAATAAAGGGCTGTTACTCAAAATTAGAAGGGTCATTGGACAATTGAACACTGAGATTTTCAATTTAAAAATGGTTATTGTTACAGAAATACTTCACTATTTGCTTTCTTCTTGATGGCCAAGAGCTTAAAACAGTTCAACTGCATGAGTTTTATCATGATCTCTATGGCACCAACCTTCCAAATTTTCCCTACTTTGAGTGCCATCTTGAAATTCCTTTTTACGGTCATAGCCTAGGACATCTCTTGGGGTTAAAGACAAGGTTCTTCTTGGTCCTGGGATAGCTATTTGGATCTCCTAGAGGTGTCATTTGGGCCTGTCATAGCTTTACATTTATTCTCATACCACATTTATTTATTCACTTTTTATGATCAATTATTTAATTTCTTTCTTTTAAAATATTTTAGTTGTTTATAGACCTTTATTTTATTTACTTATTTATATGTGGTGTTGAGAATCGAACCCAGTACCTCACATGTGGTAGGCAAGCTCTCTACTGCTGAGCTGCAATTACAACACCAATTATTTAATTTCTTATAATTCCACAAGTAAGACAGACATCTTGGGAGCTGGGGACAAGAAACTAGAGAGCAAAGGCAGCTAATTTAGCCTGGGCTTTTCTTATACCATCACAAAGTTTCCCTCAGAGGGGAAGAGATTGCTGGTGGGTTCTACTTTGCCTGTAGGTTTTCTCTAAGTTGAGCACATAATAAAAAGACTGCTCTCTTTGAAGTTCTTCCTAACTTTACCACCTACTTCTCAGCCAATCCCTTTGTGTCCACCACTTTCTAGTGTAACCACCAAAATGGAAATTCATAAAATGGTTCCCAGTGAATTGATTACTGTCCAACTATTTCCTTTATGAGGGCCAATGATGGAAAGTGAAGCATGTTAAAATGAAAAAGACCCTGGTATCTAGGCTCTAGTCTTGAGAGTGAACATTGTGATCTTGGAGATGTCATTTTCATTCTCTGTACTTTTGTTTCTACAGATGTGTACAAAGTGGAGGGTTAGATTGGAAATTCCTGGAAGGGCTTCTGATTTTATTACTCCCTTACATTAGTGAAGCATTTTTACATGCATAATCTAATGGTTTTGAATTTGGGGTCTGACATCAAATATATCTGAGTATGCATCTGGGTCTCACCACTTCCTAGCTATATGATGTAGGGTCAGTTATTTATTCTTCCTCTGCTTTAGTTTCTATTGGACAGCAGCCTGTGGAAAAGGAATAAGGTGAGGGAAGTAGAATTCTGATCCTATCAATCTAGCTGGGGTCAGTGGAGGTGTGAGGATCGGGGAGAGGACACTAAAGGGGTCCCCTGGATTTTCTTTCCAGTTTTCCTGGGAGGATAGGCAGAGGGCAATTCAATTACAGTGTCAGCTTGGGCTTAACCCTTTTTCCCCAGAAGGTTTTGTGGATATTTCACTCTACTTCTTTTTCCATATGTACTCCAAGTCTCTGCCTTCATGGAGAAAAGAGGCGAATGAAAAGTTAAGAAAAAATATGGCTTCCACATTACAGCATTCACTCTGTGCCTCTGTATTAACCTAGGAAAAGGTGAATGACCACTATGAACCTCAGTTTCGTCCTTTGTAACACAAGTTCTCCACTCAATTGTAGTTCCCACACCCATCTTCCTCACACTTCCTAGCACTCTAAAAATCTGTATTTCAGTAATTCAGCCTCCAAGCAACCTCAGCAGCATCTGGCTCTGAAGGCTGACGCCCACCTAGCTCCAGAACTCTTCTTTGTAGCATACTCTAGCTGAAGTCTGTGTTTCTTGTCCTTCATGAAAGAAGCCCCCACACTCCTCGGGATCAGGCCCCACTTATCAGTCAAAGGAAAGTCATACTGGGGGAGGGTCTGGTGAGTTCTGCATAGGAGAGAAAGGAAACTTCGCCCCATGTCTTGCTCGCTCCCTAGCTCAGAGCAGCTTTCATATCTAGGGCCCTCACTCAATTCTGTACTCCCTCCCTGCTGGCTGCACTAGTCTCCTCTGACTTAACAGGAAGCCTTCCTTCCCCCAGGTTCCCCTCAGGCATGTCCCACCCCCCTTCCCGGTCTTGAGACCGGCTGTCTGAACTTCCTCCCTACGGACACTCTGTGCTGCCTTCTCTCAACTTTTTCCAGCAGAAAGTTGGGAGCTCCTCAGAGCTGAGCGGCACCTGTAGTGTTGCCATTTGCAGGGAGAGGCACCGGAGGACCCCAACCAGCTCACCCTCCATCAAAGGTTATCAGGGAACTGGGAGCCTGGGCGGAGGTAGGGGAAGGCAGAGAGAAAGAGTCCTTGTCTAGATTTCCTAGTCTGTGCTTAACTCAGAACAGCTGGGTATCTTTAGAGGCCCTTGGAGGGGTTCAGAGTTGTTGGGAAGAAACTAGCCAGGAACTGAAAATTCAGGTGTGGGGGAGAAGCAGTAGAGCCGGAGTTCAGAGGTGAGAAGTGAGAGGGCACACTCTTGATTGCCGCACCCTGCCTTTTTCTCGGACCAAGGAAGGAGACAACATAGGAGGGAGCAAGAGCACCACTCTGCCCTCACTCAGCATTCTAGGATGCTTGTGAGGTGCCATGGTTCCCTGGCCTTCTGCTTCCTGCTTGTCCTGCTTGAAACTCCAGGTAAGTGACGTGGTGCCTTTCACCTGCCTGGGCATCCATGTTTCCTGCTGGCTCTCCAACCCAAAAGCTCAACACAGAGAGATTAGGGGCACTGGAGAGAGAATGAAGAATCTTCACTGATCTGTGGCTTGCTAGGCAGACCTCCTAGCCCAGTTCTGCAGATAATTATGGCTGGAAGGTATCAAAGTCAGGGGTGAAAGAGTGAAGCAAAGCATCCAGAGTGGGCAACTGAGTGTCCCTGGAGTGAGTGTGGCCAGGTTTGTACCCAAATTTTCCACATGGAATGTTTGGTAGTTGTTAGCTTGCTTCCTTCTCAGGGAATACACACTGTGTGAGACATCAAAACAAAAATTTTTCTCTGATGAGGATTTCTTCATTTTTTTCCAAGCTACCAAGCTTTACCTTTCCCTTTTATATTCTGGCCTTAACTCCAAAGCCAAGAATGACCTTTCCACAGAGCTTCTAGGTTGTGTACAAACTATATGCCTAAAAGTTTAGAAAACAGAGTAATTAATGGTAAAAAGACATATGTGCACTCTTGCATTGACTTTTGGAAAGTGTAACTAGGAAAAGAAAGGGGAAAAGAAGATAGTCTGAATTGTCAAGATTTTTTGGATAGTTATTTTAGATGTGTTGCTGTTTACAACTGTCAAGGGCATTCTGCTCCCAATGTGTTTTAAATTATACTAAAAACCTTAGAAAAAGAAAAGCAAAGCCCTTAGTAAAAGCAGGCACTAGCTTTTGATTCAGTCATTGTCCTCTTCTCTGTAAAGGAGAGGCAAGGGAATCCACCCTCCAGAATGTGGTATCTATCATACCATTCCCAGCCATGGGTATGCTCAAAGCTCCTCAGGGTCAAATACTTAAAGGTACCAGCAGGGATGTACGGGATATAATACTCTTTCTGTCCCTGCCTTTGCTGAAGGTTGGAGACGGCTTGCTGTGCTACCTTTATAGTTCTCCAGACAGAGAAGGCATTCAGAAAAATCTCAGATCCAAGCTTTTCATCTATACGCTCTCAGCCAGTTCCTGCACTGGGATAGACTAGTCAGTGGGCAGTAGTAGACACAACTGGAAAATGTGGATAGCTTATCTTTTATTTCCTACTTGCATTTTCCTTCAGCACTGAGTTTTCTTTTTGTTGGAGTTTCATTGCTTTCTCTCACCCTTTATAGCCTTACATCAGGAGTCAGAATCTGGTATTGTCAGTATGTGTCCTTGATTATTTCAACTCTTTGAACATCTAAAGATTCTTTGAGGTAATTAATTACAACATAATGGTAAGTGATAATATATGTTAGCTATTCAACAAAACTTTTTATCTTGTAGAAAGGGAAGAGTAGTGGTTGTTTGTAAAACTCGTCTTTCCTTTTAGCTGTGCTGCAAATTCACTGTGTGTCTTCTGTTCTCTAGGCCTTGGTTTTTAATTAGAAAAACAGAGGTGCATACTTTTATTTGGCTTCCATCTTCATTGTCAGGAGAACAAAGAGCAAACAAAGTAAAGTAAATATTGGTAGGAAATAGATAAAATGTTCAGTGTTTTAAAGAGGGAAAGAGAATATTTTTCTGCCAGAATTGGGTAAAAATTTCCCAGCTAAAAGAATGATTTCCCTGGGTACTAAGGAAACTTATGGGTAAAACTTTAGAACCTATGAAAACAGTTCCTAGGGATGCCACACATCTAGAGAGGGTAATTGTAGTTTTATCTTTGAAAAAGAAGGAAAAAAATACCTGTGTTCTTGATGTTGATGGCTATCCTCTGGAATAAAATATAGACACATTGATTTTGAAAGCTTTTAGAGGAGGAATCCATAATCATTAGAACTTGTGTTGGTTTCCTGTGGATAGGACTTGTCATAATAGCTCAGTTTCTTTTAAAAATGTGATTTATATTGTCTAAACAAAGGGGAATGCTGGAAACATAGATTTTGGGGGCTGCTGAAGACATTGGGTAGTTAATTTTCCTATCTTTCTGGGAAGGATGGAGAAATTTGGAGATTGGATTTAGGAGAATTTGCAAATGTTTTCAATGATGTCTGATTAGAGGTTACACAAACCATAGAATTGTCTGATTAGAGGGTGCACAAGCCATAAGATTTTAAAATAGAGTGTCTCGAGGACAACATCTAAAGAAGAAAAATACAGTTGATTTTGGCCTCATTCTCTTCCATATTTTTATGCTACATATGAGAATTATATCAATTATACTAATAAGCAAATATTCAAATTAAAAGTAGAAAGGAAATAGTCAGTTACATAATTAGGACACAAAAGAGCAATATGAATTTTAATAAGCTCAAATGTAAACACTTAACTTTGGGAACACCCTCTCCAAAAAAAAAAAACACAAAGGGTAAATTATTCTTTAAAGACAGAATGAGGAAGACATGGCTTATAGACATGGGGGTTTAAAAAGTTATTTTGGGGGTTTATTTTGAATTTATATCATTGTTTGTGCTGAATTTATAGGCAGGTAACACATTTGTAGTTTAGATTAACTGAATAGTGTCTGAACTATTAGTTGCACTTTTTTCTTCATTGGTCAGCCTATCTTGTTATACTGTAGCCTGACTTGGGCCTCACATTTTCTGTGGGACACTGACAGACTACAGTATTTAAAGAAGAGATTAAACAGGATGGAGAGTATTCTTGGTATGTTGTTTTATAAGGAACAAAGGATATTCATATATTTAGCTAGAAAAAAAATGTTCAAGGAGATGAATTGTAAAGGGAGTTTGAAATTTGTCTACAAAAACCTAAAGGGTTTTTTTACATGCAAGAATATTCTGACCATTTTGGCTGCACCAAATTAAACGGGCTGACTTGGAGATCACTGGGATTGTTCAGAAAGAGCACAAATTTCACAATGCACAAAGTTCCTATATCTTCCCTGTGATAATCCTCAGGATATTTAAATATATCTCATTACTGTAGACTAATCTATCCTAGGCCCTTCAATTCTTCTCATATAACATGATTCTGAATAATTTCTCTGAAACAATCATCTTTTCTTGATATAATTCTATTTAATTATGGCTCGCTGAAATTTAGAGGACAAGAGATCTCATTCAAGAAAAAATCTTATATTCTTATTGTCTGGTCAAACTATGAGTCAATATTAGGTTCTTTAACTATGATGGGGAAGAGTAAAGGTGGAAGCTATTGTGGGAGCACAGATCCAGGAGAAGATCAGTGTGATATCAAATAGATTTTATATTAGCAAGGATTCTATAAAGTATCAACTGCTCAATATACATAGTTTACTAAGGATTGAGGGAAGAAAAGAAGTTAATAAATAAAATTATCAGGGATCAGTTCAGAACAATTTGTGGAGCAAAACTTGTGGAGCCTATAGACATTATGTACCATCAGGTATGACCCTGTACCAATTCAAAAGGCCAAGATAAAAGTTAGCTTGTTCTCAAAGGTAAGTGCTTTTCTCAGGATGATAGGAAGAAACATCTGATTTATGGTGGTTTTGATAAAGGTTTCTAATTGGAAACTTTCAAAATATCAAACACTTTTCTTTACTGAAACTAAGGAGCTTCTTACCAGAATGGGAAAATGATGTAATCTTCAACATTCAGCTGAAATTAAGTTATTGAACTTCCTGCCTTTCTGTCAAGTTTACAAAAGGAAAGAATGCTGAATCTCTTCAGGGAATGCAAAGTGGGGGCAGGGGCTTGGTGAACTGAAAGGTGTAGGGATTCAAGGTTCATTATATATTCCTTGTTTTTGGTGGCCCCAGACTTTCCATTTTGAAGTCTTTTTCCAACTTTGTAGATGTTCCCTCAATTTCTACTGGATTTCCTACTGTTCTTCTTCTGCCTCTCTGTAACATGAATATATGCATTCGGCCTGAGGCATACAGCAACCATCCACAAATTTAAATTGAAATCCACTTCGGTAGATTGAGCCTGGTGGTTTTGTTACCAGGTTAAAATGTTAAATTGTGTATTGCTGAACTCTAGGATTTCAGAGAGAAATAAGAGAAGTCCAGTGAGTTAGGATTATATGTCTATACCTGCATTTCCTTTGTCTTTCAATCAGATTTATTTTGCTCTTTTCAATTATACATATTAAATTTTGAGGAGAAGTTCATCTGAAATGATGATCAAAGGTATAAAATGAAAAAGAAAATACTGGATGATCTCAAGGACTTTTTCCATTTCTAAGAGTCCCTAAGTCTCAAATGTTATTCCCAAGGAAGTTGGGATATCCAAGGAGCAGGATACCTTATGTTATTAATTCTGCCATTGCCTTTTTAAAAAATATTTTTAGTTGTTGATGGGCCCTTATTTTATTTATTTATATTTGGTCCTGAGAATTGAACTCAGTGCCTCACACATGCTAGGCAAGCACTCCACAACTGAGCCACAACCCCAGCCCCTGCCATTGCCTTTTGTAAGTGATCAATGTAGTATATTTGAGGGCACCTTCCCTTCAAATAGTCAGGTTCCAATTTATTGGCTTGGTGCCATCAAAGTTCTCGTAGCAATCGAAGAGCCAAACATTTATTCTGGGATACTAGAATTAAATAATTTGGATTTATTTTTCTATTGGCCCACTAGTAATATCATATAACCAGAGAGAGACAAAGCTGCAAGGTGACCCTTAGAGTAACCATACATCCCCGTTTTCTCAGACTGTTGTCACAGCATGAATGCTAGTAATGTCTCAGTTTGGATGATAAATTATATTGTCACTTTACTTCCAATATTGTTAGCCCCAAATCCTTGAGTTACAGAAAGGAAAACAGAGGCCTAGAGAGGGAAAGGGATTTACCCAAATTTACATAGCAACTTTATGGCATCTCTGGAAATCTGGCTTGAACCACACACCTGATTCTTAGTATGGTTGGCATTGATCCAATAAAATGAATGTTTACTTTTAATTTGTTTTAAAAAGCTGTTTAATTTGTTTTAAGAAACTCATGCCTCCAGTTCCCTTTGCATATCCTCAAACCCAGTATAAAAATGTGTTTTCTTTCTGTGGTTTTT